TTGAACCCCACCGAGCGGTGTCAAAAGTTGACTTAAAGATAAGGACCAAGGACAAAAAGATAAGGACCAGGTACGAAGGTCAGACTGAGATCAAAACCAACCGGCGTTTTGACTGGGAGCGGGCATTATAGGGTAGTTCCTGAAGCTCATTTCGAATTTCTTCATAACAGGGACCGCAACAGACATCTTCCATGGACAAAGTGCACGTCACTGAGTTTAAATGGACCAGATAAGCACGTTGTTTTTAGAGACGGACAACCCAGCGTAATCATAAACGCTTGTTCAGATTTTGAAAATAAAAAAATTTCGCTGATTTTTATTCACCATGACCGTCTAAAGGTAAAACAAAGTCGGAAGTCAAACGGGTTGCATGAGGCGGTCTGCGGGCACTTTAGATACCAATCTTGAAGTTGACCTTGCTTGACGTCATTTGACGTCAAGGTCAAGACCTATGGACCTCGAATTTTCACACATGGGCGCTGCATGACCTACAGCAGTCGATGCGCCCTAAAACCCCAAATCAGCATCATCGAATGTTCACACAAGGGAGATTACATACAGACCATTCCACCTTGTGTATTTGGTGTGTCTAGCCCTGGTGGTCTTGGGGATATCAGGGACAGATTAACGCGCACCCCACCCAAGGGAAGCATGTTCAACCGGCCACCCGGGTGCGTATTAAATGTCGATGAGCAAACTCATATCGTTTGTGCTATTTTCCCGTTCTAAGCTGACAGAATTCTACTCAATGTCTCTAGCTGATGGGTGTAAAGTTTTTCAACTATAACGATGGTATGGGAGCCAGTCGTAGCAGCTTTGGGCGGAACAGTTAAAATTGGGGCGTTCCACGATGAATCAACAAGCGCCTTATGCTCTTATCCCTCGGATTTGGATTGAACTGGATTCCCGGGGTTGTGATCGGCGATGAAGTTACCTGTGACCTTTTTAGATCTCCAAAATACACCGTTTTGGAGTTTTTTTCAGAGAGAGAGAGCCCACAGTAATTTCGAGTTGCGTGGTTGCAGGGCTACCTTTGGTGACAGTTTTTTTCCCACTGGCTTGAAACATAATTTTGCAAACCTTCACGTAAAAGTGATCATCCAGCTATCCCAAATATGTGTATGCCACTCTTGAATCGGTCACTGCACAATAAAGAGTGAGCAGGACATTGTGAGCTCTTGCAAGGCACGAAGAATTTTCCCATAAGGTATCAATATTTGTGAAGTCGTGTCTTGTTCATGCGGGCGACTCAGCAGTTAGACAAGAGCCCAGTGATAGGACAATACGCTCGTGCCTGTTGTGCGGCAGGAGCGCATGGTTATATTGGCAGTGTCTTGCAGCAATGAAAAGCTTGAACAGCCCCAGTTGTGCCCGTCATATCTGATGCACAAAACGAACGCAAGGGGGGGAGGGGTAAAGGGACCACATAGCCTCCAGAAGGTTGGGGACCAAACTCACGATGGGGGGGGGGGGCAAAGTGGACTGTGGTGGGGGGGGGGAGGGGAGGCAACGGGCCATCCAAATGAATACGAATCGACACCCGTGGTCCTTTATTGTAGCATTGTTTCCAAACCTTTCCAAGCCGATAACCTTCTGTCTATTGTTTAATCGGATCGGGCTCATACTACGCTCTTTCACACGTAAATGAGGAAGGGTTCAAAATCGCATCAAAATGGTGTTACATGCATTGCGAATGTTCATAATGCCGCAACCCATATTTCTTTGGCAATGATTCTAACTACGACAGACACGTAATCTGGTATGTTTTTTTAACCATGTTGCCTCCTAGGTGAACTGATCAACAAAACGTTTTCATTAATATCCGATTTTCTTTCATCTTAGTGAAAATCGATACCGAACGGAGCCATTCGACCGTACAACACGAAAATGCCGGAGGCCGTAACTTCAAAACCGCTCAGCTCTAAGGCATGAAAATGTGACAGGCGTTTTGAGCGGCGTTAACAACCTCTGTGACCCATTTTTATCACCATCCAGGAGACGAGGGTGTACAGTTGACCATTCGCCGCCTCCGTGGTCTAGGGGAAGGATGCTTGACTCGCAATCCAGCGCCACTGGGCACGAGTCCCGGAGTAGGCGTGTTGTTTGACCCGACTGAAATGGAAAGGTCAGCTGGCAACTGACCAACGAGGGTCAACCGAGGCCCGGGCGGCTGTGCTGCAGCATTGCGCGGCGCGTAAAAACCTCCGCATTCCTGTCTGGCAAAAGGGCGGAGACAAAATCATCCGTTGATCGGGACGGCACGACCTGGGTGGTGGGTTCGGGGCAGTGGTGGGTTCGGGGTTCACGCAAGCTGTGGTTAGCAGTTGTTGTGAACCTGAAGTTACCCATGCAAACCAACCGGAATGATTTTTTTTTTAATCGACCCGTCGATTTGTCGTAGAATGACCTAACTACCCCTGACATAACACGATTTTACAAGTAAGCATACGCAAACAAACAATATGCCCTGGATTCCCTAGGTGCGCATAACTATAATCCAATGACTGCCTGAGTGGACTGAGCTATGAATGCCTGAGTGGACTGAGCTGAAGTTCAGAGCTGTCTGCCACCCAACTGACGGACGATGACGAGTTATGCTTGCGTCACTATCACATTCTTCCTGTAAGTAAACAACCTGATAAAACATCCAATAAAGAGCCAATGATACGAGGGCAAGGGCACGTACACCATTTGCGCTCATAGTCTACAACAAAACGACAGAGCGGTTAGGGCCAGGCCCGCATCCGCCAATCTGCTGTATCGCGGATGCGTGTGACCTTGTGTAAAAAATGTTGGGTAGAGCTTTGGAACGCGTACAAAAAAGCATGCACAGGCCATAGCCATGCATCTGCCTGGATGGCCATATCCCGTTTCAGTGCGTGAGCTGCCCCAGGCGGCTGGCGCCGTCACTGCTTCCCACGCAGGGTGATCACTAACGACCTCCCCAGTAGCAAACGTTGGCGAATGACCGTACCTTAGTTAGTATATTGCCAGCTGTCTGTAGCCGGTTCAGCAGGAGCCTAGCGTTGGCGTTCGCTGCAGCTCCGGCCGGGAGGGTGACGTCACAGCTCCAGCCGGAAGCGTGCCATCACGCCAGAACTTCCATTAAGTGTCATTGTCTGTTCGGTTGCGCCAGTCGTACTCGTTCCCCGCCTTCCACCGAGGTCAGAGATAATGACGCTGCGGCAGAGAGACGAATGATCAGGACGTGGTACAAACCAGGCGAGGTTGGTAACACGACATTGGTGCTGCGGTAAAAAGTCCCACTCACAGGTGGTCCGACATGGGTTATACGCGACATTGCTTGTCCCAAACATACGCTCGTCGTAACTTCTACAGCAAAGACGTATCAGCCTTGAATTATGCATATTACCTCTACTGCAGCGGGCTATACATGGTTCCAGTGGTACACAGCAAAACCCGAGAAATAATGAAAAACGTGTATCCAAAAAATGTTACGCCTACCATCATGGCTACTGCAAAAACTATATAGCATCTACTTATCAGAGATATGACTTCTTCGGTCAATGCTTATACGCGACATTTCTGCGATACGATGCGGTACACAATCGCTGCGACATTCAGGCGGCACTCCACAATTTACAGCTGTCAGCATTCGAACCCATAGGTTAAGCCTCACGGAGGTTCCTGAGGGACGACCACATGGGAGTACTGGGCTGGGCTGGGATCCGACTGCAGGTGCCATTCCATAGTGTCCACACATTATTGCTGCTGCAAGTATCGCGTTCGACAGACCCACAACAATATGTCTAAGCGGCGTTTTTCCAAATGGAAAAAAACATGGTGTATTGACGTCGTGTTACAAAACATGTTTGGGGCAAAGCAGGGTAAGAACGTCCAAACCCCTCCAAAAAAGATGAAACACGGCGTTTGCCCCGAACGTGACACACCTTTCTGTCACGTATGAGGGGTGGATGGGGTCTCGACTGAATACGAAACTGCAACCCTTGCTTGGTGTACACTGAAACGCGGCATTTCTTCTGCTACGGTGACTTACCTGAGGCTATAGTGTTGTATGACAGAACTAACACTTCAAACGTTTTATCGGTCATCGAGATTTCAATACCGAAATTGCAGCTTTTGCTCACACGCCAAACACAGCGACAAATCGACAAATTAACATAACATAATGAACGAGTTGTGTTTCGTGTCGATACCACAAAATTTTACATGCAACATTGCCCGGTAGGGGCTCCTTCCTTTCCTACGAATTGTTCGTACATCCCTGCCTGATGTTTACTCATTTTGCACTCCGGAGAAATATTAGCAGTAAAAGTAACGTTGGAGATGCATAAAGACTATGCATTTATGAAGTAAAAGTAATTCTACTTATACTTTTGAAATTTAAGTTTTGTCGTGTAGCATTAATGTCCCCTATAAG